ATGCATCATCAGCAAACATGCTGTTTTTTTTACTTCTATATCATATATATTAAACCCTTTAATATTTGTATTTTCTCTTATTGCTATGGAGAGGAGCTCAATAGCTAAAATAAAAATGTAAGGTGACAGTCTTGTCGGACTCCTTGTCCTTGTCAAGAAACCATTGTAAAGAATACAGCTTGTTGGATTTTTGTATAACAATTTTACCCACATTTTTAATTTGGTCCAAAGTTAAATAGATCGAGTGTTTTAGAAATAAAATTATGATTTAGATTATCAAAAGCTTTTTCAAAATCAGCAAAAAATAATATTTCAGGTTTTTCGTTTTGTTCTGCGTACTAAATTACATCATATATCAATCTTATATTTTCACCAATGAATCTGCCCTTAATAAATCCAGTTATTGTCGATAAAGTTACTTAGTAAACGTTTAATTCTATTAGTAATTACTTTACTTAGTATTTTATAGTCCACGTTTAATAAACTTATTGGCGGCCAGTTTGAAAGAAATGACAAATCTTTAATCTTTATTTTTTTTTTGGTTTTGGGATTAAGGCAATTAAACATTTGTGCCTGCAACTGACTTAAAGATTCAGTTTCGAATGATTAATTAGGAGACTTTATTAGATCATTTTTAATTTCATTCCAAAACATTATATAAAATTCAACGTTAATACCATCTGATCCAGGACTTTTCCCATTTTTCATAGTTTCAATTACTTCCATACATTCTCCTTCTGTAATAATTCATTCACATAATACTTGCTCTTTCTCGTTTAGCTTAGAAATTTTATTTTCATCATAAAAGTCATATATTGAGTCTCTTTGTATCTTTTCATTGTACAGACTTTCTTAATATTTTTTTTGCTCAATCAGAATTTCTAATTTTGGTTTGACATAACATTAACATTGACATTTAGATTATTAATAAGTTTTCCTTAAGCATTTCTAAGTTCTACGGTTTTTTTTTCTGCAATTTAATGTTGTTTTTTTTTCACTGTTGTCTAATTTAAAACTTTTAATTCTCGTTATAATTCCATTGATATTTTCATTATGAAACTGTTCTATTTCTGACTTTTTTCAATTCTAAATTTCTGTTTAAATTTCCGTTAAAATAGCAAGCTATCTCAGTTTCAATCATTTCGATTTCTCTCAAAAGTTTTTGAATATGTTCTGTTTCTGTTTTCTAGTTATATTTTGAAAATCTTATAGTTTCATTTCGTATTGTACTTTTAATAACTTCCCAATTGACTAAAGAGTTTGGTCTGTATTAAGAGAACGTATTTCAGTTATGGCATTTTTAATTCCATATTTAAATTCTGTATTTTAAAAAAAAACTGTTATTTAGTTTAAAAACACCAGGACCTCTCACCATAGGATCAAAATTTAAAGTTACATATGCTATAGAGTGATCAAATTTAAAGATAGGCTTTATGCCGGATTTTTCAACAATATTTACCAAATCATTTGAAACAACAAAATTATCTAATCTACACGCTATATTTAATCGTAGTTTTGAGCGAAATGTCAATCTTTTTGCCAACGGATTTTGTATCCGAGATATATCATTAAGTTGAAAAGTTTCATGTATGCTTTTTATTTTTTGGCAACACTTCAAATGTGTATGAGGATTTCCATCTAGTTTGTCAATATTAGGTTCTATCACTACATTAAAATCTCCCCCTATAATAAAAGGGGATCATTTCTGTCTTTAACGAAGGCTTCTAGTTTACGGAAAATTTCAATATCATCTTTATTTGGGCCTTATACATTTATGATAAATACCTCTTTGTTTGAAGTGCTAATACATGTCCGATCACAATTTCAAAAGTATTTAGAATTTGAATATTTAAAACATTTCTGAAAATAATTGATAATTTAAGCATGAAGTTATGCAAATATACAGTGCAATTCAATGTTAAGCAGTCATTTCGTCATTTTTATGTACTATCAGGATTTAAAAATGAATGAAACAACAACAAAAACCAACATATTGCAACATGACATATCAGAAAGAAAATATTATAATGGGACCTTACATACACTCTTACATACTATTTAAAAATGTGAATATTAGGAAACAAATAAATGTTATTGATTAAAATTTAGTGACAAAAATATTTATATCATTGTCAAATGATTACTAAAGTTACTTTTTCTGAAATGAGTTATGAAGGAACATTTTGGGTTACATTTGGAATAAGAGTATGAGACATAAAATTTAAAAAATACCTATCTAAATTTGGTATCAATACTATCAAATCAATGATATATCTTACATTTATTAATATCAAATCTAATAAATTTAAACAAGCAAAAAATATTACACTCATTTTGAAATTCCTACCATCAAATCACATTACAATTTTGACATCCATACTTTCAAATCTAATACAAATCATATTACATTTATTTTGACATTTTGTTTTCAACGTGTTATATTTATTTTCTGTTCCAAACATTCCCTGTAGATTTTTTGGAAGAATTTCCTCGAGTCTCACGAGCCGGCCACGGGAGTGAAAGCCGTTGACCATATTCTGAGAATTTTATCTCCCGTAATTTTGAGTTTTCTGGTTTTAAGGGGTTCGTTGATTTAAATATGAATACTTTGCTTTCGAAAGACCATGCTTTTTCGATTCGTTTGGGATCTTGAAAACGTAATAACATTAAAGGTTGCTGTTGGAGTGTGATTAATCTCCATTTAAATATATTCTGGTTCCTTTAAGTGACTTTGCATTTTTCATTATATTTATTTTCGTTTGCCCTCTTACGAATTTTACAATCGTTGGACGGTTACTGCCTGTCTTGAACTGATTAATTTTATGTGCAATGTCTATTTCTTCATCGAGAACGACTACACCGAGATTGTCTTTGCATAATTTCTGGAATTATTGTGTTTTTGTCTGTTATGAAGACTGGTGTGGAGAATCTTATTTTATTCCGTGATACCAGGGTTATTCCTTCGACTGTATTGCTCTTGATCATTTGCATTTTCTTTTAAATTTTCGTTTTATAATTTTAATATTTTCAATTCATTGTTTATCTTTTCTTCTGATTTTTCTAATCTTGTTTCTATAACATGTTTGTTTTCGCTTATCCCTGAAATAAGTTTTGAAACGGTGGCTGATTTGTTAAAAATTACATCTTCTAAAATTTCTAATCGTTTGATGACTGATGCTAATAATTGTTCCTTTATTTCTTCAAATGTGTCTTTTATTATGTTTTAGATGAATGACCTGTCATATTTTGTTAAAACTTTGCTGAGTTTTTCATTGGTTTTATCTAGTTTTTGTTCATGTTTAATCTCCACGTGCGTTTTTATCTAATAAGGTGATGTCGCGGTGTTTTGTTTTTTACTTTTTTGTTTTCTTTGGTGAGGCTTGGAGTTATTGGGGTTGTTTTTTGTTCGAAAGTCTTTTACGAAACCTTTATTTATTGAGTCTGTTTCTTCTGTGGTTTCATTTAAAGAGCTAAATGAGTTCTTTATAATACTAGGGTCTAAGTCGCTACAGCTAGTGGTGGATTCTTTTTTTCGTTTCGGTGTTCCGATTATAACATTAATACATTCATACAAACAAGTGCTTTGTTTTGTAAAGGGTCGTCGTTTTATTTGGACATGTTTTACCAACCACAGAAAAATAGACGCCAAATGGATTTTTAAAGGAAGGAAAACTGAAGCGAAATCAGAAATGTATTTGTATATATCATTATATTGTTTTAAACACAAAAAAACACCTTTTCTGGGGTCAAAGTAAGAAAAAGATAGTAATCAAATGAAAAGTCCGTTATATGCCAAATTAATCCCATGAAATTAAATTAATGCTATTGGGTCCACAGCACTATTTTGCAATCGAACCAACGCCATCTGCGTTGTAATCATTTTTGTTATTTATTTTATAAACAGACAACAACAATTTCCAAAAGTTCAAAAATAATTTTAGCGCAAGAATCATAGATACGATGTGATGCCAGTGTATTTAGAGCTCGTTTTGCACATATGTTTAAGCGTTTTAGCCAAAATTAGGCAATTACAGTGGTGACTCCTCGTCAAACTGTGCAGAAGTGTTTGTATAAAAAGCAATGTATTAGCAGTGCAATTTCAGGCAAAATTTGTCAAACAGCTACAAAATAAGAATTTAAATTATACATAAATTGAAATAAGATATGACAACACACTCAATAATTTTTATTACTTCGCGAGAGCTTTTCAATGCGCTATCATCAATAATATCATATTTCATGACATAACGTATGCGTTTTTCCTTTTAATGATTTTGTGTCGATTTAAGTTTCCGAAATGAATTAATATTAATGTTCAAAAATATAACTTATAACTCATAGCACAAATTTTATGCTTGTCACAGGTTATTTTGTTGACATTAAGCCATTTGTCAAATATTATTTAATACCATCGATGTTTAATGTATGGGCGACCAATGTTTTCTCCTTTGTTTTACTACAGTCACAATGTCTTTTTTGCCAAAGAAGTTCAAAGGGAGCGATTAAGCAAATTAAATGCAATGCAAGTAACTGGAATAACTTTTCTCAGGGGAATCAATTGAAAAATAATAACGGGCATATTTTCCCAGTCTCCCTATTGAATTTAACACTGGTTGTAATGAATACATCAAAAAAGAATTCAGAGAAACCACACACGATCGTGTCATATTGAAAGTCCATTGTTTTCAAATATAATGATTGCCTTCATATCAGTCTTGAAATTTTGTATAAAAGAGTATGAATAGCATTTTAAATCATCTTCTTCCAATTCAGATTAACATATAAGCACTAAAATATTTATTGACGTGGAGACAAATTGGCATTGTAAATATTTTCAATTTCAAACTGTTATTTGAAAATTAAATAGACTTCTCATTTCAGTTTCATTTATTGGTTTATCTTTTATTTAAGGTAATTACATTTTGCATAATACATTTTAATGCCAACCGACTAAACTATTATTTGTATGTTTCTGGGCGAAACCTTGACAGTAATGAGCATGCGCGATATTTGTTTTAAAGAAATGAAATTATAACGATAATTTCAGAATCGTGAGGCGCAGGCAACATGAAAAACACGGCATCGGCTAACGCTCTCTCCTTTTTCGTACTTGGTATGTCGGTTTGCCTGTTGTACTCTTCAGTATTCTTTGTTTTTAGGAGGAATAGAGTGTTTGACGGTTATACGTGCCCTGAGTCGAAACGCGTTTTTAGTATGGACAAGGTTTACAGCGATATGCAATGTGCTTTGTATTGTAAAGGGTCGTCATTATGTGTTGACATATTCTACCAACCACAGGAAAAGAGATGCGACGGCTGCAGGTATTCTGAAGACTCAGAACTTGAAATTGCCGACGGGTTTTTGTATTACACGAGGAGAGGTAAATACTCCTGTCATATTTTTAAGTCCGTTATGACGTATTACACATCCATTTAACAGATTTAATGATTAAAGTTGAACTATATTATATTTTAGTTATAAAGACAAACTGCACAATCTGTTTTATTTAATCATTTAATGTCTTAACTACAATGTCAAGTTCTTCTTTTTAAAATTCTAATTAGTGAAAAAAATATATTCTTGATGATTTTTCGTTAAAGGACAATTTTAGAAATATTCCATCGTAATTGAATGTTTTAAACTGTTTATCCAAGCCGATTTTGCTTGTCTTTGGTATTAATTGAATTAATTGTAATGAATATTGTGTACCTAAATGTAAGTAAAATGTGGTTAAAGTTGAAGTTTTTTTTAAATAAATTTTGGATAGTTTCCTCACATGAAATAATCCGAAGTCTCTAAGTTAAACATGATTCGAATATACATTGGTGAGGAGCAAATGGTTCAAAGTCAACAACCTTAACCACTCGAACACCGACGCCCATTTGTTAAATAAGATGATCCTATTTCATATGAAACGGCATTTTTTAAAAGATTCTTTCCTCCCACTGTGATTTTAAAACCCAGTAGAACGCAAGTAAAACATATGAGGAAAGTTTGACACGATGTGAACGCAACTCATTCTGTTTTTTTTAGCCAAGTTATGAGTTGCTTTTATCTAGCTGTAAATAACGTAAAATATTCAAGTGACACTGCTAAATAAACTTTTCTTTCAGTTACAAAACTGGTATTTTGAAATTCTGAAGAGACCTTTTTCAAAATATGGAAGAGCCTAAAATATGCATCTGTTATAATTTGTAAACAGCAAACAATATTTAACTGAGATATTTTATATCTACTTTATTTTCATAAGTAGCTAGATGTATACGTAAGGATTTTTATCTTACTTTTAAGTGCGTTAAGAATAGGCGGTGTGTTTGATATTATTTACTAGAATATTATTTCGGTTTCTAAATACCAATAATGTACAGTGCATGAAAAAAGGAATGACAAACTTATATTAAAGGCATGCTATTCGTTTATATCGGAGGAAACCGGCATTTGTTTAATGCGGCTAGCATGATATTTTCATCATTTGATATCGATACAAGATCTACAGTTATTACATAATTTCAATATAAATTGATAATGAATAAGTGCCAGGTTGTATTAGATACAAAACAACTAGTTTTATTAAACGTGCAAATGCTAATTTGACGCAAGCTGTGCAATAAAAAGTAATTCAAATATCAAGTTATCATACCGGTGTAACTTTTAACTTTTATTTAAGTAATAATATTTAATATGTCATAAAGAACAAAACGAAATAATAAATTTTAGGTACACATTAAGGTTACCGTCTACGATGTGAAAATACGTTGATATTTGATTTGATTACACACGGTATATATTACATCGTATACCAAGTGTTTAAGCCAATCAAAATTTGTGAAATTAATTTGCGGTGTTGAAATCTATGATATGTGTTAATGAATTTAACTTTATCATTTAGCCTGGCAAATTCGGCAAATTCCTGTTGTAAAAATGACAATCATCGCGTTAGCAAGAATATGTCACAGACAGAAAAAGTGATTTTGAAGTTATAAAAATGAAGTGTGTATCATTATTTACATTAAAAAAGCCGACATTTTTAGAACTGTTTCAGAAATAAAGATATGGAAATAAGAATGTATAGTTATAAAAATGCTTGCTGCGAGAATCTTGCATTTAAACCTAATCATGGTATACTATTACTTAATATATGTAATTAAATAGTTTTATAAACATACTAGTCAATCAGATTTAGTTGATGGTTTAACTTTGGCTTGCAGCTCCTGACTATTCTTGGACCACGTGGTCACCATGGAGCATATGCAGCATAAGTTGTGATTCGGGCACTCAAAAAAGATCGAGAGAGTGTTCCATTCGCATAGAAGGCAACGGAGAATCGACGTGTGATCAAGCGGATGGGGTTAGTGAGGAGACACAACCTTGTCATAAGCAATCATGTCCTAGTAAGTAATATATGGTTATAATATTCCTACTTGAACACTGTTTCACCGCCTTGGTGGTGTAAATGGTGCAATTGTTACAAATGATATTTAAACCCTTCTGAAAAGTTGACCTCATTTTATTGAGTTTTACCCGTATTGTTCTTGTTTAGGTTGTGAACATTATCGATACTAGAATCTAACTTGATTACAATACGTTACCTGTCCTCAAATGGCACAAACAAGTCATATTAAAGGCTCAAGTATCGTCACAGCATGAAAACATTTGCAGATGTTACTAAATACCATGATTATTTCTTTTTTAAGACGGTACTTGAGGCTTTTCAACGAATAGTTACATTTGTCACTGCTTTTTCTGAACAAGCAATCATGTTTTCTGCATCAGATAACATTTCAAGATTCCATTGTTGACATTAAATATAAAATCTCATCTTTTTTAAGTTTTTATATTGTTATATTTCAAGTATGTCAAAAAATTTCCATCTGAAGTTCTCAAATGTGTAACATGTGTGTGGAATTTCAAACAAGGATAATGTAACTTACAGCATAACTTGATCTATGTAATACATGTAATACATGTAATATATGTCTAATTAATTTTTAAACATAGTTTTATTTCTTTTCCTAGCACCGACTCTTGGAAAGGCTTGCACAAGTAATATAGACTGTATAGAAACAGAAGGTGTGTGTATAGATGGAATATGTTTCTGTCACCAACTATTTGAATATAACAACACAATTAATAACTGTACAAAAGGTATTACATGTATTTTATTAAAGTTACCATAGCATTAAAATGGACGTTTTGTCATATATAGTTTAATTTTGTATTTTATTGCTTCAAAACACAAATGCAAATAATAATTGAAAAAGTAAGCAAGTTTTAAGCAATAATTTCTTGCAGTATAAGATGAAGCCCTTCCCAGAATATTTGTAAAATTATGCATGAGAACTACTAAATTAGTATGAAATAAAACAGTTATATCCTTAAATTTGGTTATTCTTAAAAACATTTTGCATGTATTTTATTTCATTTAAATATTAAATTTATGCGAAAAATATCAGAAATAGAAGTTTTCTTTGTTATGCATATCTTGCTGAAAGTGCATATTTTTCTTATTTTAAGTTTAAACTGTATGCTATAATTATTCTATAAATTTGCCCATGAAGTCAATAAATAATATATTTTAGAAATCATTTTAAATTTCAGTATGCGACACAATGACCGGCAATTATACGAAATTCGAAAAGAAAGGTATTGCGGGTTTTAACCATGGTTCCGATGCGGCGTATGACAGCCTGGAAGAATGTAAAATAGCCTGTAACAGTAACCCCATCTGCTTATCTTTCGAAACATGGCTAGAAGGGAGTAAGTTAAAATGTTCAACAGGAATTATTACATACGAAATGGTGAAATCAGCTGCTCCCATATCTATAAGAAATATTCATCATGTTGATCTGTATTCCAAAACATGTTCTTGACTTACACGCATAGACTTAAAAATGAAATCTGAAAATTTTGAATCAAAAAGATTAAAT